GTTAGTTGTATTTTTAAAACATTAAACATACACTATTTTTGTCTTTTTATTTACTTATTAACTTGACTTGCGAATCTTAGTTAACTTTTGAGATTTCTTGCTCATTCAGAAGATTGCGAAGCATAGTTAACTTCGAGATTTTTTGCCCATTCAGGAGAGTTAAGGGACTAATTAATTTGACTCAAAGGTAGGAGCGTATAAACAAAAGTAGGGGTTAGTTTAAGGGCTTAAGATAGGATTTTGCCGACAAAACACATAAAGGGTTACAGACGCGAATGGCAAATCGTCTTCTTGCACTCAGCCCTCTTCACCCAACCCATGTTGAATTGTCCCGGCTGATAAAAACTAAAGAGTGAAGACTCTATCTTGTTTCATGGTTTCACCTCCCAGAAACAGTGCTGTATGGTGACGTACCGCAACCATGGAGGTTGCTCCTGGCAACTCATAAAAGACTAATAAACCTTAAAATTTAACTGATAGAATCAGGGGTTTTACATTCCAGCCAGTTAGTGGATCAAGAGGCCTTTACCCAATATCGAGGGTCCCTCAATATTCAAGGATTAATGTTTTGCAATTTGCTATAGTGCAAATTGTATAACATTTTTTGTTAACTCATATATAACAGACCATTACTGCTGATAAAATAAAATAAACTAATATCATCACACTACAAATATAGGGAGCAAGAACATAAGTTCCTTTGATTTAAACTCTTGTTATCTCAGTTATAGCTAATCTTATATGAACTCAAAATAATAATATCCAATTACCATGATTATGTGCCTATAAAACTTACTAACTTATCACCTATGGTTACTTTTTTTCAAAGTACAGGCATTACTCAACCGTGGTTGATTGTTCATCCTCGGCCTAGTGGTTGTGACCCTAGTCCCTTAGCAAGAAGTCATGAGAGTTACTTTTCAAGAGGTTTAATTAAGAATCCCCAGCTTTTTAAGATCAAACTGTAGAGGGGATGTGGCAGTACTAGATAATCTAAAAAAGAGTCCATATATGTAAAAGTTGCTCTTACAATTTAGATTGCATGTACTGCAAGTCAGATAAAGAGACCATACTGAACTGAGATGAAACTCGATGTTGAAAGTTTTTTACTTGAACCTGCAGGAAAGTGTAAACTTTATTAGGGAAAGAGGTTTATAAGAGATGAGAATGTCTCTACGAGATAGGAAAGACAAGTTTTAATGCCCCATTCAAACTTAAAACATTAACTGAGAATCCAAAAAACAGCAATAAGAATGCAAGCATGCAATACCCTTCATGGAATCATTATATTCGTTAGAAGGAATGAGAAAACTGAAATTTCTAAGTAAAAAGAAACCACACAAATTGGCAGAGAGCAAACTCATTTGTACATGTCAAAAACAGGTGGCATTAATGCATTTTCACATAAATGTTCACAAGAATCGGTTGTAGTTGTAGATTCTGGACTTGATACCTCTTTTTTACGAAGTCAAATTGATGATTTATCAGAGCCATCTTCTTTATTCAAAGAAACATCAACTGATAATAGGGAAGCTGGAGAAACATCCTCTGGCCCATGGGAACTATCTCCTTGATCTTGTGAAACATCATCTGTAAAGGTAGGAGCTTGAGGGGCATCATCCAAATATTCAGGATAATCTGAGCCATCTTCATCAGACATGTAATTTATATCTAGAGGCTGTACAATTTCAAAGTTATGTTCTGGTTTATGCTGTTGATTAAACCGTCCAGGAACCTTAATAGGAGAATTATAGCAGCCCTCACACAAGTCGAAACCTATTTTCTCAAGGCAGTCTTTGCATTTATATCTCTCACCTATTATTGGACACAGCTGCAAGGAAATTTGGAAATAGGAATTCATTCAATTAATGCTTCACTAGGGGAGGAAAGAACAAACATCCACCATGCAAATGCAAGATGCAACATAAAATCAAGCATCCATACTAGGCAGGTATCCATAAAATTTAAGAGCCAAAACTGGTTTTTGAGTTAGTGCTATAAACTTGACAAAGGCATTGTTTCTATTGCAATGGGCCACGTACAAAATATTCTTCTTGAACAACTTTTCCCCATTTCTTACAGACATTTTCCTTAAATTCATTAGTTATTTCCCATTATTCAAGATTTTGAACTTCTGCACTCATGTTTCTTATTAATATTCTTCAATACCAGCAGCTGTCCAAGTCAGAGACAGAATTAAAAGAAACATCTAGACTCTATCCAGATAAAATTCTTTTGAGTTGCTGTCAAAAGCATTCCATTAGCCTTTTTAATCAAGAGCACAACCTATGATAATGGATAAGAATAACAATTTCTTGATCTTCCCCCATAAAGAAGAGTCCTGAAGTTGCAATTAGTATGCTTTTCACCAGCTTGGTGGAACAGAAGTACACTTGGAGAGTTTTATGTGTGAAAATCTTAGTCTTGAGAATTTTGCTAAACAGACCACTTTTGAAACTTGAAAACATGCCCTTGTTCTAGTCCACCCAAGACTTTTACCAGTGTACAAGATAATGGACCCTTAAAATCAGTATCTAATTACAGATGAGAAAAGGTAAAAAGGAAAACCAACATATCTTTGTTGAGAAAAAAATATGAGAGGTCCTCTGGTGGATTTTCATGTCTACCTTACAATCAAGAAAAACCATTTCCACTAAGAGAGTCATGCTTCATATGTTTTGCATACAAGTTCAATTAGATAAGATTATTGATCTTAGAATGATGTTTCTTCAAACATGCAAGGTAGTTTGAGCACATATTTCTGAGTCAGCAACTAAATCAGAAAACATAAAAGTATAGCCTTACCCCACAACAATCACAGCCCACTCCTATATGAACCTTAGGTCCACTGCCAAGCCACCATGACAGTGGGTGAACATTTTTAGGAATACCTGATGAACTGGTAGCCTTTTTTTGAGCCTGTCTTGAACCTGAATAGAGTTTGCCTTAGCAATAAATTGAGAGCAATACACATAAGCAAACAACATTGGTGTTAAACACACCAATGCATGCACCGTAACAGCTTATTTTATTTTCTTTTTAATTTGGATAAAAATATCAAAAATTAAATAGTTAAATTAAAAAGGCCCTTTATGAACTGGCATTATTAAAAGTTTTGATCAAACATTAATTAATACTCATGCAGTCATGCTTGAAGAAGTTAATAGTGAATCTAGTATTGTAGGGACAAGACCCACTGATGAAAAGCAATGGCCAAGGTGTAAATGTATTAGGCACATCAAATGCATTCCAATTTATAAACATTTAACAGCTTGCATATGCTCCTTGAACAGAGGAAAAAAGAAAAGACTAAACTCAAACAGCTTATTTACTATTTATTAGTTAATTAATAATTTCCCCCAAAAAAACCAAGAAAAAGAAAAAAAATTAGGAAGAATGCATTTGACTGTTTTCTGTTGTATAATTTGAATTCAATATCCACTACAAGACATAGAAAGATATTTAAAATGAATGGTAGCATGCTGAGCATAACATATGGTGCAAATAAATGATAGTGACATGGCAAACGATTCTAGGACTTACTGACCCTTACCTTCGATAAGTAAAGCTTTCTTTCTTTCCGAATAAATATCTGGAAATTGCTCCTCCAAGAAATGATCTAGAATTAGACAAACATTAGGCAATCCATTTGGCTGAAAGCTTTGACAAATTTGGCACCGAGGGACTTTGCCTTCCAGAACAAAGGTACAAGATTCACAATATACTGCACCCAATAAAAATTAAGAATAAGTGTTTGATAAGAAAATTCCCTCATCCTTTTTAATAATTCAAACACAATTGATAGAAGAAATATTAGTTACCATGGCCACAATTAAGTACAATTGGTTGAAAGAGCAGCTTCTTGCATGCAGCACAGGGTAAATCAGTAAAAGAAACAAGCTTCTGAGCTCTATGTTGAACATTATTTCCAAGAGAACTACATTCTTGGTCAGTTTCATTCACCATAGCTTCATCCTTCCCTAAAGATTTTGCAGGCTCAATAGGTTTGTTATCTCCCTTCTTACTACAACTTTTTAACTGCGTATCTGAAAGGGCATGTGTATTGTTCAAGATACCAAGCTCCTCAATATGTTGTGGTTCACAAGAATTATGATCAAATTGAGGAGAGAAGTAACCAACTTCCTTCTCTTCTTCTGAAAAACCATACAATAAAAATAAAGAGTTTTTATATGGAATCCGGCTGCACAGTGGATCCACTAGCAATGACAAACTGGAATTTAGATTCCAATAAAACAAAAGAGAGAAGAAAAGGCTTCGACATCATCATAACTGATATTTTGAGATAATAACTATCATGACATCATCAGTATTCGATTTTGTTGTTATGGAGAGAAGAATTTCCTTTCACATCATTGTGTAACTCACAAACTAACAATAGAATCTGACCAAACTGAATCCTAAAAGATCCACATGCATATGGCCAGCCATTTACATAATCACATTAAGAAGTTTCTGCACAATTTAGATTTAAGAAGAGTTCACAATTACTCCCCATAACCCATTAGATATTAATAGCAGATTTTACTAAAAATAAATAGCATGTAGTGTATAATGATGAAGGAAGTTTTCCTTACTGAAACAAGTAGAGTAGCAGACTTATTAAAATTGGACCCAATCTGAATATCCAACCCAACCCACCTACTATGAGTTGAGTAATGGTTCTAGAGTATTAATCCAGAATCCAATATGACACAAGCCAAAATTACCCAGACCCAACATCAAGGTCAGATCCAGTTAGCCCAAAGTAATTTGACTAAAATTAGTTAATTTTTTGAAATTTAAAATTTTGATTAATTATACTTTTAATTTTAATTTTTAAATAAAAAATAAAATAAAATACTAAAAAAATAGTTATTATTTATTAGATTATTATAGTTAATATTAATTTAATAAAAAATTTTACTAAACAATTAATTAAATAATAAATTGTTTTAAAAAATAGAAAAAATATTAATTTTTAATTTTAATTTTTTTAAAAATTGGGTCCACCCAACTCAATCCAAGACCCATTTTTTTTGAGGGAGAATCCAAGACCCATTTGAGTGGGTCATGGGTGTACCCTTTAACTTGAAATTGGAAATGACCCAATTTAATAAACCTGGAATCCAAGGTGATCCAAACCGAACCCACCCGATTCAACTTGTTTACTAGGTAATGTAGATATTCAAGCATTTGAGAAGGTGGAAATTAAAAAACAATGTACCTCCTACTTGTCTTTCTCTTCTCTCATACCCTATAGGATACAACTTCAGAAGCAAAAAATGAAGCAGCTGACAGATGCTTGGGAAATGATTATATGGATGCCGGCAAATTGGACAGTGAGATTCATTCCAAAAATTCATAGCGTTATAGATGCACCAGAAGCATGATATGTGGCCACAAGCTGCAAATAGTGATAGTCAAAGCTCCATACAGTTTTAACTACATAACTATGTAGTTTACTTGCCCCTTACCTAATACAACTGGCTTGTAAAGAAGTTCCCTGTAATATCAAAGAAAACTGAGCTCAAAAGTGTTTATATCTGTAGGCAAAAGAGTTGAAAAAAGAAGTTCAAAAAGACAAAAATCCAGAAACAACGTACAACCATACAATAAATGAAAGTGAGCTACTAAGTTTCGTTTATAGAAGATGTGCTAAGATTTTATGTATGGACTTATATCAAGAAAACTATTATTATTTCATCATAAAAAAAAAAAAAATACTAATATTATTATTTGAGAAATGCAGGCCTCATGTATAGGGATGGAGCAACAAGCTAACAGCTTTAGCCATCGGATCAAGATGTTATATTATTCCATAAAATGTTGAGGCCTTCAGACACTCCAGAGAAGGTTTTCACCTCAAAACAAAGTCTACCCTGTTCCCCAGCCTCAAAGTTTTCCTAAATCTACAATTCTGAAGAATATTGGAAAGGCAAAGCATATATAAATGAAAATTAAGCAAAAGACTATATCTTAATTTTCTCAATTTCCCAAAAAAAAAAAAAAAAAAAAAAAAAAGAGGTCCAGTACCTTCCTTGGCACTGTGAGCAACAATGCAAAAGAGGTCATAAAATAGATAGAAGAAATATAAAGGGGTCCAGAATTCTCCACAAGTATAAGCTAATATGGACACCATTTTTAGCATAAGGTTGACAGGAAATTCACATATCACTTGTCAACCAATGAAAGATGAAAATATTTACAATTTCGCTGTGCTTGCTTCTGCAAAAGATACATCACACATGGGTTTTTCTTTAGGCCTAGATGACCTGCCTTCTATCCGACCGGATAAGGATTAGTTTCGAGGTGCACACAAGCTGACCCAGGCACACCCAAATTGCCAAATCAAAATAAATAAATAAAAGCACATCGATCCTATGAAGTTTTTCTTAAAGTTAATAAACACTAGATTAAAAATAGTTTCCTACAATCAGATTTTGATAATTAATAACTGATTCAGCCCAAAAAAAAAAAAAAAAAAAAAAAAAAAACGAATCTTGAAAAACCAAACACTTGAATTTTTCAACTTGAATCGACAGACGCTTTGGATGAGGTAAAAAAACTTACAGGCAAATGCAACATCGGAATTCCTCAGGAAATTCCTCAACTTCAAGCTCAGAATCGTCTTCCTCTTGGCTTCTGATCAGGGATTTGCCCTTGTTATCGTCGACATTATTGATTCCCGTTTCCATGTCTCGAAGGAGAGGGAAGATAAGAGATGGAGGCTGAAATGGAAGCAGAATCGAGTTTAACCACTTGCCCACTCTTTGTTTTATTAACATAACAAACCTTTTAAAGTTTTAAAGCACGAAATGCCCTACCTCTAACGCCACGCTGTATCCAGCTTTTTGTTTCTGTTTGTAGGAGGAGAAAAGTAAAAATTAATATGTATTAATATTTTTATTGAGAAAATATGTAAATATAAAGATAAATTATTTTTATTTTTATTATTTAAAAATATAAATTTTATTAATTTTTGAATAAAATCATAAATTTTTAATTTTTTTATTTAAAAATATTGATTTTGTATTTTTTAATTTAGGAATTAATTTGATAGTAATCATAACATGATAAATAATTTTCTTAATTATTTAATTAATTTTTAAATAAAAAATTACTAATCTGATAGTTTTTTTTTTTTATCTAAGTTACACAATTAAAGACAAATATCTCTCATTTCTTATCTCACTTCACTCACATCTCATGTGAGTTGAACTTCCATCTCTTGTCCCACTCCACCTGCATATTATACGAGTTGAATTCTGAATCTCTTATTTCCAATGGAAAAAGATGACCATTAAATTATTTAAGTCGTTAATACAAAACTCACAATTTTAAATACAAAAAATTAAAAATTTATTGTTTTATTCAAGAATATGTAAAGTTCATATTTTTAGATAAAAAAACAAAATTTATA